GAGTAAAATATGGAATATATTTTCACAAAACATGATAAAATGCCACATATATTCACGAGCCTGGACAGCGAGTGAAAATAATTATTAAGTGGCATTTTATCATGTTGAGTGAAAATATACACCATATTTCATGAAAAACGAAAAAATAACCTTTTTATTTAATTTCATTATCAAAGAAATGGTTACAAATCCCCTTGCTTGCTACGCAACTGCAATTCTACAGGGCACAGTAATATTGTCAGGGTCCAGTGGGGCCGGAACTAAGAAATAACTTCAAATATGGTTCGAATCCTAGTCCATGCAAGGCGTCTTAAGCAATCAAGCTTAAGGAGCCAGACCCCAATACCCTAATAACCTAAATATGATAAATGAGAGACATGAGGGATGAAGTAAAAGCCATATCATGTTAAGTTTCAACAATATAATTGAAAAATATCTTCAAAAAAAAATGTGTACATATAAATTTCATAAATCATTTATGTCTGTAATCTGTGACTTCTTATAGACATCAGCTTCATATATGTTGGTCAAGATCTAGGTCATCATTACATGTTTACTGGATAAAATATATATAAACACATAGATAAGCATAACTCATCTAAACTGCGCAGACATGAGAGTGTGATGAGTAAATTACTCATATATCACTGCTCAAACATAAGCACATGCAAAAGAGAGTGAGATGAGATATATAAGCTCATATACCACTGCTCTTACACTAAAAGCCATGCAGAGACATACACAGTGAGAGTGAGATAAGTGAGACACTTATATACCACTGCTCACACATTAAAAGCAACTTTAAGCAGGAACACAAGCATAAATCTCTTCTTGATTTCAGTATCAAATATAACATTCTTCAAGTTGACTTATAAATTACAGGAAGGACTGAGACATGAGCATAACTCATGAATGATTTCCATTCCAAAAACCCTAATATATATGTAGATGAAAAATATCTCTTCTAATACAGCTTATGAAGTTTTATCAAATTTTTAAGCATGAACATCAACTGAACTGTCAAACTGTAAAAGATTTCTTGACTAAAATGGCTTCTTATCCAACTCGTTCCTTTCTGCATGTACATTCTTCTCTCTATCTTCATAAAGAAAAATATAACATGTGCAAAATGTAAACAATAACAAACGTCATTCACGCCTTGGATTCTGATTGGTCAGCCGCATCACACAAAAAAATAGTCCCTAATTGAGATCAAAACTTCTAAGAAAATATGAAGGTCATCGGCCAACTTTAGCGTCCGTCAGCATCTTCTAAAACAAAAATAAAAATGAACAAGAAACAACTTAACTGAACCATGGAACTTCCAACTGGTGAATCCAAACATCGAACGCCATCCTTACTTTCACTTTCGTTTGTATCCGGTTACACAGGCAGTCAAGAATCAACAAAAATAAGTCTGAAATTTCTAATTCAAATAGCGTGGTTTAACCTAAACGATTTTTAAGCGTGCAAGAGGTCGATCAAGGGCGCGCTCGAGCTTTATATCATACGATGCTGGAATTGCAGGAAAACTCTGCAGGAATCCTTGGAAACTGGAAGGTCGCTGTTCTGCCATTCCTCGATAAAAATATAATGAGCCAAATCTAAATTACTCAAAGACCATGTCGCTGTTTCTAAAATAAATCTTCCTACATATATATAGCAAAAATAACAATAGACAATTTATGAAATAATATTTATAGCCTGCATGATAAGTTTTACCGATTCCCGGAAGGGGTATTTAATCAACGGAATGTCGTAAACTCCAACAATTTCAACCAAGACACCCGCAAATCTTACGAAGAGCCATGAATATTAATTACACAGATAAAACAGAATTTCTAAATGTTGACAGTGTACAATTACACCCCAGGTATCTTCAATGACCGGTAATTGATTGAATTAAACCTGTACTTTAATGTAGAACCAAGTAATTATGATATAATTTCTGTGACTGACAGCTTGCATGCCATATTTTCTAATAGGGCTGGATTCGGACTGTATAAGATAGTTGATCAAAATTTATCATTTCTCGTCTTTGTGATGACATCATGGGCCCCACAATATATTTTATTATTTATAGATGCGTCTTATGCGTCTTGTTTTTTGCACGCAATGTTTGGCGCTACATTGTGACGTCATGTAAACATCTCTTTAAACGTCTGTACAGTGTTAATGACTGAATTAAAGATATTGGTGTTGGATTTATTTTCTTAGTTAGACCATTTTCATCATCATTCTAGATAGTTTTCAAAACAAAATTCAACAAAAAGTTGTTTTTATTTGTTTGGGTCGTCAGACCAAACAAATAATGGTAGCGAAATTTCAGAGCCTAATGCTGTTAATTGCAAATGCCTAAAGTAGTCCACTTTTTTGAAGCGGTTGCTTCCCTTTATATGTACACTAACGCCGAAAAATTCAGGGGAAATCAATGCGTAAAGATTGTCAAATGACAGGCGCATTAATTTTCAAGCAAAGTAGTTCCCGAATGGTCGAAGATTTCTAATATTGTTTCATTCTTTATAGATATACATGCTTACAGTAAGCTCCATGATTATTTACATCTGTGTTTAACAACAGGTTTAGCGTCGAAATTATAAGAGTTACAAACCCTAATTTAGAAAAATATGGTTTTCTTCAGACCGTTAACATATAACTTCACCGTGGCGGAGTGGTTTGTACGCTCGCTTATGTATCGAGAGGTCTGGAGTTATAAAACCGAATTGAGGCAACTCATTTTTTTTCATTTTTTAAGTCAAATAGACATTGAATAGTCTTATAGCCAAATTACTACAGTTAAAACACTGGAAAGCATTGGTGGCACTATACAAAAACAAATTGGTTTATAATCTCACAACCTTCACCTTTCTGACATTTTGAGACCCAAACAAATTCAGCGCCTTCTGTGCTTTGATTTATTTATTTATTTACCAGATTTTGTAAACAAAATCGCGAAAGAAGTCCCTTACAATGAATATGAGTTTTGACTCCGCCCACTTTCATATTTATATTTCATATTTATTTTTTACAAATATGAAATATATTTGACTGATATAGCACCATATTTCATGGGTAAAATTAAATAATTGATATTATTTGGTAGGTTGTCATTGTTCAACACTAATGTAAAAACTCAAATCATATTTTTATAGTTGTTTCTAGACATTTTCAAAATGTACACTAATCTTATATATAAATATTTACATCTGCCCATTCAGGAAGTGTGTCGAGTATGTTGAATATTGTGTAGTTTTTATATGTAATAATTATATGCATTATAGATTTTTGTGTTATTGTGACATCATGAATATGCATAAATGTTTTTCATTGATAGTTATTGTTTAATTTAAGTCCTGATTGTGTTCATTACAGTCAAACCTTTTGAAATGGCCATCTTTTAAAATTATTTAAATTTATTCAAAGCTTTTTGTTAATTTTGCATAGGTTATTCAATTCAATTATATAATTCTGAAAATTCAAAAAAATAGTTTGATCTCAAGGTTACTTTGCATGCCGAATTTGTCAACTCATACATTGAATTTTGCTTTGATTTGCACTAAGTACATAATAACAGTTGTATAATATCTCAAAAGTAGTTTGATATTGCCAGGTTTGACTGTCGTGTATTTTGAATGTTTATTTTTGTTCTTAAGTTTTATTGTTCTAAGCTGTTTTATTACAAGTTGTTTACCTTATTCAGCATGGTTAAGTTAGATGATGTCTTTAGGTTAACAAGTTTAAAGGAACTACTGAAAACTAGGTCCAAAAGCCTAAAACACACAATTCGAATTTCTAAAATTTATCAATGGGCATGTTTAAAATAAAAAGATGTGTAAAATATAATAAAGAAATATACTCGAAATGTTAAATTTGATAAAGAAATATACTCACAATTAGATAGAAAATGGTGATTTTGTGTTGCTCTTAGTGAGGTAAGATTAAAAAGCTTATTTAAATTAAACCCTTTTCTTTTTTATGATCATTTTACACAATAGAAATAATTTTCTTGAAAAAAGAATTTTCTGCAAAAAATTTATCAAATGGTACAAAAGTCTTTAAAAAAAGACCGGGTTTTCAGAAAAACTCAGCGGATTCCCATATATATTTGTAAACCAAATCACAGGACTAGATATTATACTTTAAATTTTTTTGTTAAATTCTTCTTTTTTTTGGGAAAGTACACCTAAATGTTTGAAAACACATTTAATTTATTAAGATATACCATCAAGATACCTAATTATGTATTATATTTGCAGGAATAGGGATAAAATAGAAAATGAGCTGCGGGTCACGTAATCATAGGGATATAACTTAGGGACTTACAATAATTGATAATTCTCAGCCAAGGATTTTTGTCTGGAACATGACCATACATTAAATGAAAAATCTGCTCGTAAGGAAAAGGCAATGAACTTCTAAAGATATTTTGTGAAAATTTTGCATCAGTAATTGATATAATGTTGTCAAATTGCAATATTTAATTGTATCCATGACCTGTGCACATCAACCATGAGGACAGTGCAGAGGCTTGAAAATGGGGGTGGGGGTGGGGAGAAATAGCAAGGATATGTATATAGCTCTGAGAGTGCTGGGACAATAAGCAGAGTTTTTACAATTTGGGCGTTACAATTTACTGGTGTATAAGGTTTTGTATGTCTAAACTTATTATTTTACTAAAAAGATTGGTTCAATTTTATGATGAAAGGTGTAATTATGTTTTATTTTTTGAGAGACTAAATTCAAGAGGCAATGTGCAGTGTGATGACCTCTGATGGCTCAATACATATTAAAAAAAAATGAAAATTTAATTGTGATAAAAAAAATGGATAGTCACAGATTCAGGATTGGGGTTGAGGAAGATTTAGTGGTGTCACATTTAATTTTCATGTAGAATGAAACTCATGTCAGTAAAATAATTGCTTTGTGTTTCCGAATTTTTAGTATCATTGATTATTATTATAAAGGTCAATTTTTGTTAAGATACTGTATTGCCTTTTCAGCCTGGCCCAAAAATATCTCAAGAGGATAAAGTAATAATACTCTGCCCCTATTTCTATTCAGATAACCATTCTCCCATCTCTAGATAGATGCATTTTCCCCAACATCCTACCATGTATGAAAATATACATTCCCGCATCATTCATACATCTATAAAACCAGGAAATAAGTTAAGCACACCCCGGAAATTTAAAATTGGTGTTGATTGAAAGTACTGCAATGAGATGTCGACTAATTTGAGCTAAGAAATAGTAATTTTATAAGTAGCGATACCAATTTAGCAATCATAAACAAGTAAATTTATGAGTTGTGTTTAGTCTTAACCAAATTATTGAAGCATAAGCAAATATTTTACCAAAAATTTAAGTGTTTGTTGGAGCCTTTACAAAACATTTACTGGCGGATATTTTTGGTTAATATTGTCGATTACGTAAACTTAAATGACATCATACAGCCAAATTTTAAATAAGGTATGTAACCGCCATGTGCCCGAATGATACCCTCAACCCTTCTCCTCATACTACCAGTAAGATGTCTAATGTGATTTTGACGTAAATTTTGCCATTCTTGGAAAGTCAGAGCTAATGTTTCCAGTTGTACGTTGCAGGTTGACTACAGGTGGTTCGTACCATTGCCCAAATGAAATTTAAAATTTCAGTTGTCACAGGTCATGTCAAAATTGAGGCAAAATGCAGGGTGTGCTTAACATATTTCCAGGTGTACATATGCATTTACGTCCTATCATCTATAAAAACATGCATTTCCGAACTTTCTTCTATCAATAAATAGATGCATCTTCCCAATATCCTACAATCCATAAAAAGATACATTCTCCAAACCCTTTCCCATCTAGAAAAGTGATGTATTCCCCCATTACTCAACCACTTATAAAAAGATATATTCCCATGTAATTCTTTAAAAGATGCATTCTCCAAACCCTTTCCCATCTATAAAAAAGATCATTCCTCCATCATTATTCCACTTATAAATAGATGCATTCCCATCTAATTCTTTAAAAAGATACATTGTCCCTCAATATTTTCCCATCTATAAATAGATGCATTTCTCCCACCATTCTTTAATCTGTTATAAGATGCAAACTCTCCCAACATTCTCCAATCTGTAAATAGATGCATTCCCTCATCATTCCCCTACTTAAAAATGGATGCATTCTCCCATCTATAAATAGATGCATTCCTCTATCAGTCCAATCTTAAAAATAAATGCATTTTCCGTTCAGTCTCTATAAATAGATTTATTTCTATAAATAGATGAATTGTCCTAACATTCTCCCATCTCTAATAAGATTCATTCTCCTATCATTATCCCCTTTATAATAAGATGCAATCTCATCCAACATTCTCCGATCTGTAGATAGGTGCCTTCTCTTCCAACATTTTCCCATTTATAAAAAGAAGAATTTTCCAAGCATTCCCTGATCTATAAAAAGATGCATTCTCCCATCTATGTAGTCTTGCATCTGTCAATAGGTTTTTTTTGCCGTGTCCACTCTTAATCTTCCATATATAAATGGAACCTGTCTGTGCCTCAAAAATTTCAGGTATTCCATGATGATAATTAGCCCAGAAAAATACATTTATCTGTCAATCAATCTTAGTCTTCTATTCACTGTTTTAGTATACATCCTATTCCTATATATTATACAGGAATTTTAGTTAGAAGGAGTTTGATAGTGCTTTAAAATTCTATATGATAAAAGAACTCTTACAATTGGGTTATTTCAGAATGGGTAACATTGAACTTGTCCCTGAATTTGTTATGAAGTTCACCAAAGGCTTGCTTCACAGCATTTTCCATTAAGTGAGCATTGTGCCAAGTTTTATATGATTTCTTTCAGCTTTTATTATTGCACATCTGTGCACCATGTCAAACACCATCCTTATCAATTGAACCTTTTTCACTGTTCCAGAATTATTCTAACTTATGACCTATGATTATTAGATATATACCAGAATTCATCGCAAACCCCCCCCCCCCCCCCCAAAAAAAAAAAATAAAAAAGAAAAGAATAAATAATGTGTTTATTGAATGTGTAATATTAAAGAAATAATCTATACACTAAATTAGATAAAGTATTAGAAGTATATATTATAATATGTGAGTAAATTCATTGTACCATATTCTTACAGTTTAAAAATTTTGACAATAATACAGGTAAAATATCACTTAAAAACTATGCTCAAAATTATGTAAATTTGTTGGTAATTGAAGGCATTAAATGCTTTAATGTCATTTACATAGAATGATAGAATGTTAATAAGTTGTAAAAGTAATCATTTGTAAATCATTATGCTTGTTAATGACTCAAAACATGAATATTGATATTTCAGGGGCGTGTCTTACAGTCACATGACTATGTATTTTGGTGCGGAGATTTCAACTATAGGATTGACCTGCCTAATGACGAGGTTAAGGAGCTGATCAAGAATGAGAATTGGGGAGCTCTTCAAGCCATGGATCAACTGAATATACAGAGACAGGAAAATAATGTAAGTGTATTTTCAGTCTGTGAAATTAGGACTTGAATACCAATTATCATGAAATTAGGGCTTAAATACCAATTATCATGAAATTTAAGGACTTAAATACCAAGTAACATGAAATTTTAAGGACGGAAATACCAATAAACATGAAATTAGGACTTAAATACCAATTATCATAAAAAAAAAAAAAAAAAAAAAAAAAAGATACAATTTTATGCCTTCAATTACAATTGTGCAAAGAAACATTTTGGATTCATAAGCTAAAAACTCATTTTCCAGAAGGAATGAACACAAAGTTGTTATACTCAATTAAATAATTCATAAAATATCAATCCACGCTACAAATGCTAGAATTACGCCACATAGATATTCGTTTTTTCCTATTATCATTTTTTATAATTAAACCCTATAGGAAATATTCGTATTTATTAATCCGATATCTATTGTGTCGTTTTTATATTTTGATGCTTTGTTTGGTGCACTTATCTCTTTTATCATGAATTGGAATTGTTCGTATTTGTTCGTTTTTCCGCTAAAGTGGGCGTGACGTTAATTGTAAAATTACGACGTCACGTCCGTTGATATTATTATTATTTATTTACCTTGAAAAAGGCATACATTTGCCGAAACGTTGGAAAAATAAAAAATGATATTATACGTGTTATTGCTGTGACTTTATTATTTTAATACCAATTATCATGAAATTTAAGGACTTAAATACCAGTTATCATGAAATTAGGACTAACATACCAATTATCATTAAATTAGGGCTTAGATACCAATTAACATGAAATTTAAGGACTTAAATACCAATTATCACGAAATTAAGACTGGAATACCAATTAACATGAAATTTAAGGACTTAAATACCAATTATCACGAAATAAGGACTTGAATACCAATTAACATGATATTTAAGGACTGAAATTCCAATAAACATGAAATAAGGACTTGAATACAAATTAACATGAAATAAGGACTTGAATACAAATTAACATGACTGAAGGTTATTATTATTATTTATACATAATTTTATAAAGCAATTACATTGGCTTTTTGAAGCTGTTGTCAAGTGAATTGAAAATCTCTATTCTGTATGATGAAAGCTTTTAACCCTGAACTTATATACGCAGTACTGGAACTTAAATTTTCAAGTCTTTGCCATCATTATAGAGCCAGGCCAACCTGCACCGAAAATCCTCTGTGTTGTCTGTGTAGCAAATTTTGTATTTTGATATTGATATCCCTTAAGCCAGTATATAGACTGGTCCAAATTCAAAGTTGGGCAAATCCATTATTTAGATTGAGGATGATCAGTGTTAGTATGAAGATTTTAGCTGGGTATAAGTCATCTTGTTAAATGTCAGTAATGTTAAACATGTATGTCTGCATGTATTTTTAACAATATTTTGTTGTTCTGGATTGCATATACTTTCAATGGAACCCTTTACCATGCAGTTGCACCATACTCTAATGCCTGTTTATATGTGGCCTCTACAGAGTAGTGGAGACATATAGGGATCACTTCTCTGTCGTCTGTCTGTCCATCTTAAAACTCGTCCAGGGTACTTTTTAGAAACTACTGGTGCAATTTCATCCAAATTTAATAGGAATGATAAGTATCAAGTCTAGTTGAGCATTATTGTAGGCATTTTCCAGTTCAATAATTTTTGTCAGAATTATGGCCCTTTAATGATTTTTATGTCCCCGCCATAAAATGGCTGGGGCATATAGTGTTACCCTGTTCTGTAATTCAGTCATGTTCAGTTTCCGTTCATTATCTTGGTAATGATTGCACACATTGGACTCAAATTTGACATCCATATATCATAGAAAAATGAAGGTCAAATAAGAATTTGGTCATGGTCCGAGTATTTTTGACAAGAGTTGTGCCCCTTGATCAAACTTTCAGTTTCCATTCATTATCTCCCCATAAGTAGTACTCATTCAACTCAAATTTGACATATGGATACGTCAAAGGAATGCAAAGATTCAAGTTCAAATTTGGTCATGGTTTGATAATTTTGGCGGAGATATGTCCCCTTAAGCTTAAAAAAAAAAGTCCGTCTGTCCGTCCGTCAGTCCGTCCGTCCACAAAACTGGATCCCGCGATAATGCAAAAAGTACTGAAAATATTTTAATGAAACTTGATATATGGATAGATGGCAGTATGGAGATTATGCACGTCTTTTTCTTTTCTTCCTATGTTGAAAATTCTGGTTGCTATGGCAACAAATAGACTGAAAATATGGCAAATTTTACACATAATCTGGATCCCGCGATAACGCAAAAAGTACTGAAAATATTTTTATGAAACTTGATATATGGATAGATGACAGTATGGAGATTATGCACGTCTTTTTCTTTTCTTCCTATGTTGAAAATTCTGGTTGCTATGGCAACAAATAGACTGAAAATACGGCAAATTTTACACATAACCTGGATCCAGTGATAACACAAAAAGTACTGAAAATATGTTTATGAAACTTGACATACTGGTAAATGGCAGTATGGAAATTATGCACATCCTTTTTTTACATCCTATGTTGAAAATTCTGGTTGCTATGGCAACAAATAGACTGAATTTCAAGATTTCTGATTCAAGTTTTTAAGTTTTTTCACTATAAGTTCTTTATTTCTTAAGGTATTTTCTTCAAACTTTAAATATAAGTTGCTTGTCATCAACCACATCATATGTGACAAGGTTTACAACTCTAGCACAAAAATTATCAGAATTACCTCCCTTGAACTTAAAATTTTCATTAAAATTTTTTTTTAATAACTTCTTTTTCTGAATGTATCTACTTCAAACTTCATATAAATGTTTCTTATTGTCACTCAACATTTGTGAGTGTTCAATACTCTAGCAAGACTATTAGGGAGAATTATGCCCCTTTTGAACTTAGACTTTTTTTTGAGAAATTGGTAATTTTTACTCCAACTTCTTCAATCATGATAGGATTTTAAAAATGTTATATTTTGATAACAGGGATGTTTAAAAAATAACTTTAGAGTGTCCTTCAGTCCGTCTGTCTGTACATGATAACACAAAAAGTACTGAAAATATGTTTATGAAACTTGACATACTGGTAAATGGCAGTATGGAAATTATGCACATCCTTTTTTTACATCCTATGTTGAAAATTCTGGTTGCTATGGCAACAAATAGACTGAATTTCAAGATTTCTGATTCTAGTTTTTAAGTTTTTTCACTATAAGTTCTTTATTTCTTAAGGTATTTTCTTCAAACTTTAAATATAAGTTGCTTGTCATCAACCACATCATATGTGACAAGGTTTACAACTCTAGCACAAAAATTATCAGAATTACCTCCCTTGAACTTAAAATTTTCATTAAAAATTTTTTTTAATAACTTCTTTTTCTGAATGTATCTACTTCAAACTTCATATAAATGTTTCTTATTGTCACTCAACATTTGTGAGTGTTCAATACTCTAGTAAGACTATTAGGGAGAATTATGCCCCTTTTGAACTTAGACTTTTTTTTTGAGAAATTGGTAATTTTTACTCCAACTTCTTCAATCATGATAGGATTTTAAAAATGTTATATTTTGATAACAGGGATGTTTAAAAAATAACTTTAGAGTGTCCTTCAGTCCATCTGTCTGTACATAAAAACTGTTTCCTGTGATCACTTTTAAAGAACTTTTTCAACAAATTTACTTAAAATAGGAACCTAAGTGAATGGCCAATGGCCCTTCAGAATGTTGCTTGGGCTCTTACCGGTAGGGGACTTATGGATTGCTTGCAATACTATGATAATTGCTTGTTGAATTTGGTCATGGTTTGATGAATTTAATCCCTCTTGAACTTTGAAAAAGTAAGAAATTTTCAGTTTCCATTCATTGTTTCCCCAAAAACTGTACACATTCAACTTATTTTTGGACATATGGATATGATTAAGAAATATGATTAAAAGAACAAAATAAACAATGCATTTTTAGGACTATTAAGGAATCATAAAATAATATGTTGGCCACAAAAAAGTTTGACAAAGCTACGTGCAATACCTTTTTTACGCGAATATCAAAATAATGATATTACATTCTGACGAAAAAAAGACTTATATATGAACATTTATCTCATTCAGTTCATTTCATACAATTATGGAATAAAGAAAAGTAGCAAAACTGTAAAATGTATATCAAAATATTAAACGAAAAATGAAAAAATACATGGTAACACTTGGTAATTATTGTGTAAGAATGTTTTTCAGTCAATTTACCATGCTTATTCTGGATATTTCACTGCCTCATGTTCAGTTGAATAATCCATAATCATAATTGCCACAAATGTAGAAAGCTCTACAAAATAAACAGAAATTGAAAATATTTAAGTGAACTTCCTACCTTTACCGCCATTTTTAAAGCTTGTAGACAGTTTACCGTATTGTTTTAAACGGTCTTGTTTTCATTATATCCTACCTTGAATATTTTAGATTTTACTTTTTGATTTATTACTATACCTGTGTATACTATATTATAATAGTGAGACATAAGAATCAACCTGAATTTTAGAGACAATTTTACATGTGAAACATGTTGGTTTTTTTTTTCAGGGGTATATTAATTTTTTTGAATCGATAACTTTTTTCTAAGGAAGTTGCATAGGTATAGTAAACAAGCCTGTAAGGGTTGTCTTTTATAATTTGCAAATCCAGCATCTACAAATTTAATTTATTCATCATTGCGTTGAAAATTGTTTATTATTTTAGCGCAGTTAATGTCTTGGAATTAAGAAATATGATTTAAAGAACAAAATAAACAATGCATATTTAGGACTTTAAAGGAATCGTAAAATAATATGTTGGCCACAAAAAAGTTCGACAAAGCTTCATTCACAATGCCATGAGTGATATACACCAAGTGATATGGGTTTTATCTCAGGAAATAAAAACCCAGACTTTCACTTATTATCATAAACTATTACAATGACTAATGTAAGAGCATATATCTTAATAAAAAACCAAGACTTTCACTTATTAATATAAACTATTACAATGACTTTATAGAGTACATGTAAAATAACAACGCAAAATATTGACATAATGAAATATCACCATATATCTACTGCCTTACTTATGCAGTTGGGGCTTTTTTGCCTGAGTTTGACTTCTGTATTTGGTAGTTGACGTGGATTGTAAGTGCCGCATGCAGTGTGTTATTTACTTCCTTTTGTACACTTCACAATATTTTACTTTAGAAATATATTTTCCTAATTGTTATGAAAATAAGTATGGATCTTGAAGTATGCTGCTTACATTATGTTTCATGATGTAATTTCTAGGAAATTTTCTTAATTTTTCCCTTAATTTTATAGAAAGTAGGATGGGATTTCAACAACTAATCAAGCGACTTACGCACTCATCCACTTCTCTAAAATATTGTCTCTTAATTATATACTCTTGTTTGGAGTGTCCATTTTTAGCTCGACTTTTGAAGACTTTTGAAAAAAAAAAGTAGAGATATTGCTATAGTCGCGGCGGCTTTGCCGTCCGCAAACTTGTACCTGGATCATAACTTCTTTATTTCTTGGTGTATTGTCTTCATACTTGGCCACAACAACCCTTGGGACAAGACCCCACTAACCTTGACCCTTATCCATAAATAACCTTGACCTTCAAGGTTAAAAGTCCAAATTTTGCTTGTTCATGGTGTTATTGGCTGTAACTTTGTTATTTTTGAATGGATTGTCTTCAAACTTGAACATAATAATCTTCAAGGATATCCCTTAAAAATAACCAGACAGACCTTGACCTTCACTCATAAATGACCTTGACTTTGAAGGTCAAATTATTGAAATTTTCATTTTTTATGCCCCCACAATGTGGGAGCATATAGCGTTGCACTTGTCCGTCCGTATGTCAGTCCGTCCGTCCGTCCGTCAGTCCGTACGTCCCGAAATCTTGTGAACGCAACTCCTCTTAAACCGGATGGCAGATTTTGCTTAAACTTACAGGGATGAACAACCTTAATGTGTAGATGGTAGTAAAGGAAGGAATTTTTGCTGCGACCAAATTTAACAGAATTATATTTGTTGATTTTTTCACTAGATACTATGTAGAAATTTTGTGAACGCAACTCCTCTTAAACCGGATGGCAGATTTTGCTTAAACTTACAGGAATGAACAACCTTCAGGTGTAGATGGTAGTAAAGGAAGGAATTTTCGCTTCGACCGAATTTTACAGAATTATGGCCCTTTGTTGATTTTTTCACTATATACTATGTAGAAATTTTGTGAATGCAACTCTTCTTAAACCGGATGGTAGATTTTGCTTAAACTTCCAGGGATGAACAACCTTAATGTGTAGATGGAAGTAAAGAAAGGAATTTTGCTGCAACCAAATTTAACAGAATTATGGCCCTTTTTTGATTTTTTCATTATATACTATTAGAAATTTTGTGAACGCAACTCCTCTTAAACCGGATGGCAGATTTTGCTTAAACTTCCAGAGATGAACAACCTTAATGTGTAGATGGTAGTAAAGGAAGGAATTTTTGCTGCGAACAAATTTAACAGAATTATGGTCCTTTGTTGATTTTTAGTTTTCAACTTGTGGCACATGTAGTCCAAAAAATATTTGACCTAGAGTCATAAGATTGACAGAACAGTGGCGTGGGGGGGCATCAGTGTCCTATGGACACATTTCTAGTTTGGCTATTATTGGCTGTAACTTTGTTATTATTGAATGGATTGTCTTCAAACTTGAACATAATAATGTTCAAGGATAACCCTAAAGATAACCAGACAGACCTTGACCTTCACTCATTAATGACCTTGACTTTGAAGTTCAAATTATCGAAATTTCATTGTTTTGTCTGTAACTGGCTGTAACTTTGCTATTATTGAAGGGATCAACTTCATATTATAACAGAACATACTTAAGGACAAGACGTTGTGGTTTATCAAACACTTGGGCTGTTTAATGACCTTGACCTTGAAGTTTAAATTACTGAATTCTCAGATTTGTGCATTAAATAACCATATATATTTATTGGTGTGTGTCTGTGTATATATATAATATCATTATCAACAACAACAACAACAACACGTGTCACCACCACCAGGTGACACCACCACATGACACCACCACGTGACTCCACCACGTGACACCACCACGTGACTCCACCACATGACTACCACATGTCACCACCACCACGTGACACCACCATGTGACTCCACCACGTGACTTCATCACATGACTCCACCACTGTCACCACGTGACTCCACCACGTGTATCTATTTATAGAACTTTCTATTTATAGAATTGCTTGTTTTTATTTATAGAATTGCATGTTTCTATTTATAGAATTTTCTATTTATAGAATTGCGTGTTTCTATTTAAAATATATAGACACAACTAATGTGAAAATACAGACCGATTAATTTTATAAAAAGGAAACGTTAAAGATTTTGTTCAAACATTTCTTTGTTTGCTTTTAGAGAAAGTGAAAAGACGAGCGTTGCCCCCGCTCGGCGGTGGCTCTTGTATAAAACAATGATACCCATGTGATGTGATATCTTCCTCGTTATGTTTACATAAAAAGTGTTTATTCCAATTTATATACCATACATATCAGCCACGACATGTAACAATAAAGAGAAATACTTGGAAAACATCTTGACACTGGAAAAAAATGACCAACTAAAAGAATTTATGTAATTGTTTTTGAATTATTTAAAGTACGTAACCGCTGAAACTGTTTTCTGTAGGAAGGACAATATGTCTAGTGTTGTTTGAAGAAATGAAATTAGATTAGTCAACTAATATTTTCCGTTTTTCTTTCTTGGTATATGTACTTAACGATTCAGCAAGTGTTTTGTCAGAGGTTCAAGAACAAGTTTATCAGTTCAGTTTTTACTTAATGTTAAGGCTGTAAAAATGAGTCATTTCTACCCATATCTTTAAAATGTGGAAAACGGTCATCAAGCTGTGAAAAATTTTATTATTATAGTGCAGCAGTTTTTGTTTTTTTTTGCTAACATACAACTGATGCACCCAAGTGGACTGTTTAAAAACTGCACAGCACTGATTGAAAAGCATGTGTTGTATAATTATAAATGTTGGCATCAACTCTGATGTCAAGTTTCTACGATTACAAAAATTTGACCACTAAGTCATAAACACTTTTAATATTAACTACGTAAATAACCAAGGTATATCAAGTGAAAAGATATGAGTTGTTTCTCTTATCTTCAAGTAAAATTGATATCTCCTATGCTAAAACAATACAAATTAAGCTGGAAATGGAATGCTTTTGATCTAAGCTTCATCACAGTATATACTTCAACACATCTTTTGACACATTTACTGTTAAATCTTAACCATTAGTCAGACCATTTTACGGGCGTCCGTGGCCGAGTGGTTAAGGTCGTTGACTTCAAACCACTTGCCCCTCACTGCTGTGGGTTCGAAATCCTACAGGGACTTTGGATTCTTTTATGTGAGGAAGCTATCAAGCTAGCTTACGGAACGTCGGTGGTTCTACTCAGGTGCCCGTTCGTGCCTGAAATAATGCACGGAGGGGCACCTCAGGTCTTCCTCCACCTGTTAAGCTGGAACATCGCGATATGACCTATACTGTGTCGATGTGACGTAAAACCCAAAACATACAAACATACAAAAGACCATTTTACATACGATTTTATGCAGTGAGTTATACAACAGGTTATCGTCACTCGAAAAACTACTGCTAAGAATAGCCTGTCGTCTGCTAGTTCGGAAAGTGTTTACAGCTGTTTTAGCTATCATGAGGTGACACATGTGATCAGTGATCACTGTTGTTGTTTAATACAGTAAGTGAGAGGGGTACATGATTTGGGATGTTGGAATAGTATTATGAAAATTTTTCTTTGTTTGCAGAGACCACAGATGACATATTTGCAAAGATCACACATGACATATAAGCAAATACTGTATCAACTAATAAATGCTTGTATATTTTGTAGACGTTCCAAGGTTTTAAAGAAGCTCTCACAAATTTTGCTCCCACTTACAAGTATGACCAGTTTTGTGACGACTACGATACCAGTGATAAAAGTCGAACACCAGCTTGGACAGACAGGGTTCTGTGGAAACATAATCCATTCATAAAACACCAAAATCCAGGTTTGTTCCATTATTAAATACCAACATACATGTTTGTATCCTCATTATTTACCAAAATCCAGGTTTGTTTTCTCATTATGTACCAAAATCCAGGTTTGTTCTCTCATTAAGTAACAAAATCCAGATTAGTTCTGTCATTAAGTTCCAAAATTCAGGTTTGTTCTCTCATTAAGTACCAAAATCCAGGTTTGTTCTTTCATTAAATACTGGAATCAAGATTTGTCCTCTCATTAAATACTAAAATCAAGGTTTGGTCACTATTTTTATTAAATATCATGGTCAAGTTTTATTTTCACACTGAATACCAACTTCCCTGTTAGTTCTCTCATCAGCAAGGACGTGCCAACTGATCATGGTCTGCAAAATTCACCAATCAGTTAGTAAATATTTTCAAATTTTCCCTTGAAAATAATGAACAAATATGTCCAGATTTAAAGATGGGCGTGTCCATTTTAAGAAATTTAGTACGGAAAGGGTTTAAAACAATAAGGTGTATGTCACAGGATCTGACTTGATAGAATTATTAGGTATGTTTACATTTCAGATGAAGAGGCTATGGATGAAGACCTGGAAGCTTGGCCAAAATTATTGCTATACACAAGATCAGAGCTAAAAACATCTGATCATAGGTAATCATATTTCAAAACTGAAAAGACAACATTCGTTGTTGAAGTTGACTTATATACTGTGTACAAGGCTTTAAGGTAGCTCGCTACTTTCCGACCGAAATTTGACAATATCTCAGTTCTTGATGATTTCTGGTATACAGACATGTAGATATGTAAGCTTTACTTCTGCAGCATTATTTTATAAATAAACAGCGTTACTATGACGTCAAAGCGCCCTCTATCGGTGGCGGCGAAATTGCGTCTTTTTTATCAATAAACATGTCTGTTATTATCAATTTTCATCTAATTTCCTTCATTTTAATTTTATAATGTTCAGTAAATGTATGTCTTTGTAACGATGTCTTTCTTGAACATTTGCTTAATACTCTGCGATTCTACGTTATTTTCCCTCACGTTCTGACGTCCATATTTGATGCAAATATCGCGCGATATCGCAATAAAGATTGTGAAATAATAAAAAATCAACACAGTGAATTTTGCTTTAATTTTTTTAACATGTAGTGAAGTCATAAAAGAAAATATTTATGCAATAAAAATATAGGGTCAACGCGAAAGATATTTTGCTATTACTATTTGAATATAAAATAAAGGGTGAGTAAAACGTAATGTTTTTGGTGACGTCAAATATTTTTCTCAAGGAAATTTTCACGACTTTTTCGATAAATAACATACTGACAGGAATAAAAATGTGTGAAAACCATCAACAACAATAGTTTGTAGACATGTTCCGTAAAAATGTTCTTTTAAAAGTCCTGTCAGATGCCTGCATTTCGATGAATATCTTCAATTATATACATGTACAACAAATCAGGGTATAACTGTCTGCAAAAGTTGGTATCAATCGCTGAAAAACTGCAACGAATGGATATAAATACCTCGAGGACTGAAAGACAATTCAGAATATTGAAAGATATAATTAAAGGGCCACCTAAGTGGAAATTATAAAAATATAAATTTTGCAAAGAATGTCAGAAAAAAAGAATGAAAAGGCTGGTGCAGTCGCAATGTCATCATGTTATGTGTATCTCGGTACTACACAAACTTCCATGTTATCATATGTAACAATTTTGAATTGTATATATCAGTTAGTAGGAACAGAGACATAGATAACATCTATGTCTGTGGTAGGAAATAAATCAAATTTACGTTTCAAAAATATATGATCAACTGGAAGTAGCAACGATTTGTACGTAGGTAGTCTTAATTATATTATAAAATCTAGCAGACATTTAATTCAAAAATATCTACATGTATAAAAATTTATTTATTAACAGCCATCAGGTATTCTATTTTCTCTCGCAGCTAAATACCCTGCACTAAGAGTAAGCGTGAGACTCAGATTTAAAGCAGGAATCACGCTCTCATGCTATGGCTTTAATTTCTCACGTATTTCACATGATTACAGATGTTCTTATTTATTTTAAACTAGCTGACTCGCAGTATGCGTTTACTAGCGCATCTTTGAGGCGACCTGAAGCCGCGATCATTTCTCGATTAAAGGCGAAAGTTCCGTTGATTTATTTTGTATGTTCAGAAGCGGACAATTTTGCATATCAAATACAGATTCCCTTGTATTGAGGACCATGTAGGACCCTCAATTTTTGAGAATATGGTTGTGGGAGAAGCTCGTTTTTTGTCTGCACATAATGCAGTGCTATGTAGAGCCTATGAAAATAATGAACTATGCATTTTATGTTTTATATCTTCTTTTTTTTAATATTGGGTTTAACGCCGCTTTCAACAGTATTTCAATTTAAGCGGAGGGAATTTAACGAAACCAGTGTTTCTCACAGTATCAACTTCTCTTTGGAAATGAATGACAGCAGTCCGAGGTGGACCTTGAAACATTTCATACACAGTAAACAATTCTAAAGGATAATCTATTAGTACAATACGCAATCGTGTCTCGAATCCATGCCTTCCGAATTCAGCGTAAGATCACTTTACCGATTACAACGTATCAACAGAAGAATATTCAAAGTAAAAAAAACCTGATTATGATCTCCGTTAATAAGGGAGAAGTCCATTTTATTGCTAACATCATAATCACGTGTTGTGAGGTTGTTTTTTTTCTTGTTTTTTTATTTTTGTTTTAAAGCAAACTGTATTGTATTAAAAAATGAACAAGATAACGTCAACATAATACATTATTCGTATTCAGTGGTAACAAAAGTTGCACAAGTTATTTAATAATAATATTTTGTATTTAATTAAAATATACAGTATAACCTTTACATAGAAATGCCCTTTGTTGCCTAGAGTGGTTGCTCTACAGAGGTAAAATGTAGTGGAACTCTTTAGAAATAAATAATACTTTGAGGGCCGCTATGTTATACTGTACAGTAATGAAAAAGCGGTAATGAATCCGAGTTGAGTAATGGTTATATTAGGTGTTTCACATTCGAGTCTGCAGTTGCGAATATGCTTATATATTTTTTTATTCAGTATGATTTTGCTTCAAAAATAGTTTATAGTTTGTCACATAAGTGCTCATTTTCTAATTATCATGACATTTTAATTAGATTATATAGAGGATATTTGTTTGTTTTGCATGTAAGATTGAAATATAATTTCACTGAGTGAACACCAGATGCAATATTTTCACGAGTGGCGTAGCCACGAGTGAAAATATAATAGCTGGTGTTCACGAATGAAATATATTTCAATCTTATATGTAAAACAAATAAATTTTCTTTTTATTTCATGCGTTTTAAGTAATTTTAAGTAATTTTTACTGATTTTGCCGCGTAACGTCGCACATTCTCCTTCGTGACGTCATCACATCATGACGTCACATCAACAAATTTGAAATAAAGTTCTGTTAAATTTCTCTAATTTTGTTACATTTTTAGCATAATGTATGGTGACATCGACTTTCTTTTCCGAAAGAAGCAAAATTTACGCATGACGGCATTTATTTTTGCCTGTTATTCCATTCAGTTTTGATTTTCTTTTCATCATTCAGATATAGTCCGGCTACAGTGAAAATTATATTTTATAAATTTCACTAGTGGTTTATCAGAATATAATCATCTGATATATTACAATAAAACACTGGAAAGCATGAAATAAAATTATATAATCTATGTATTGCACAGACTTAGAAATGGTAAGCAAAAATAAAAACAAAATAAAGGTTTTTGTTTCTTGTACAGTTTGTTTTTAAATATTCTTAAAGGGACTCCACTGAGATTGAAAAGCTAAACACATAACATTTGAATTTCTTACATAAATGAGCTGGGCACTTTAAACAGAAATATATGCAAAGATAGTTAAGAAATATACTTTGAAATAAATTGAAAATCGTATTTTTATGCTTTTGTTAGCCTGATTTGGATGAAAAGCGTTTAAACACTTTTTATGCCCCCGCCATGTAATGGCCGGGGCATAAAGTGTTACCCTGTTCCGTCATTCCGTCCTTCCGTCCTTCCATCCTTCCGTCCTTCTGTCATTCTGTCATTATAAGTTTCCGTTCATTATCTTTAGAACGGTTGGACACATTCAACTCAAATTTGACATATGGATATGTCATGAGAAAATACAGGTCAAGATCGAATTTGGTCATGGTTCGATGAGTTTTGGCAGAGTTATGCCCCTTTTACTTTGAAAATAATATGAAATTTTCAGTTTCCGTTCATTATCTCCCTCAAGGTACGTGTACACATTCAACTCAAACGTGACATATGGATGCATCAAAGGAATGCGCAGGTCAAGTTCAAATTTGGTCATGGTTCAATGATTTTTGGCAGAGTTATGCCCCTTTCACTTTGAAAGTAATATGAAATTTTAAGTTTCCGTTTATTATCTCCCCAATGGTACAACACATTCAACTCAAATTTGACATATGGATATGTTTTTGGAATGCCCAGGCCAAGTTCGAATTTGGTCATGGTTCAATGATTTTTGGCAGAGTAATGCCCCCTTTCACTTTGAAAGTAATATGAAATTTACAGTTTCTGTTCATTATCTACCCAACAGTGTTACATATTCAACTTTAATTTGACGTATGGATATGTCAAAGGAATGGGCAGGTCAAGTTGGAATTTGGTCATGGTTTGATGATTTTTTGGCAGAGTTATGTCCCTTTCACTTTGAAAATAATATAGATACATCTTAGGAATAAGCAGTTTAAGTTTGAATTTGGTCGTGGTTCAATGATTTTAGACAAACTTATCTTTCCTGAATGTTGGAAAAATTTTGAACTTTCAGTTTCAGTACTCATTCTTTTAGCCATTTTTTTGGCTACAAATATACAATATGCTATTTCTAAAAGGTTAAGACTGAATAATTTCAGTGCCTTGAACATTGTATGGAAATGGTTTGTGTTAACATTGAAAAGTTTTAAGGGCTTTGAACTTAAAATGAAAAAAATTATTAATGCACCATCTGAAATTTTGGCTGCATGCGGGGGCATCCGTGGCATGATGACACATTTCTAGTCATTTTGAATAATTATTCTGGAAAAACGAAGTGCGCGAATGCTCTGAAATTTTGCACAAAGATTTGTGGTGTAAACCTACATCAAATGGTACATTTATCTGGAAAAAATATTTTCAGTTCCATCATGTCAAAATACCTCAGTCCCTTTAACATATTTGAATATTATTTCTGAATTTTATTTATCACTTATTTCGGCACATTTGTATGCATATCTATTTGAATTGTATTTTTACGATGTGTTTTGACACCGAGGCTCGTCTGCCTTTATGTGATTTTATGCTGAATGTAACGTAAAATAAACATTCTACGGGTATAAGCTAAGCGACCTTATTAACCAGGTTTTCAACGAACACCGGGTTATTGTAATGCCGAAGTCTGCGGGTGGGCCGGCAGGCGGGCCGGCAGGCGGGCCGGCGTCAACTTTTGGTTTCCGCTGAATAACTTTAGTTTGCTTTGGCCTATTGACACCAAACTTGGTGTGTAGGTAGCTTATATCAAGAGGCAGCTTGGGATTGCTACCCAGGTGTCTGTGATCAAGGTCAAGGTCACTGTAACTAAAAATAGAAATTCAGTTTCCGCTTAGTAACTTGAGTTTGCTTTGGCCTAATGACACCAAACTTGGTGTATGGATAGCTTATATTAAGAGGCAGCTTGGGATTGCTACCCAGGTGTCTGTGATCAAGGTCACTGTTACTAAAAATAGAAATTCAGTTTCCGCTCAATAACTTGAGTTTGCTTTGGCCTATTTACACCAAACTTGGGTGTATGGATAGGTTGTATCTAGAGGCAGCTTGGGATTGCTGCCCAGGTGTCTGTGATCTAGGTCAAGGTCACTGTTACTAAAAATAGAAATTCAGTTTTCCGCACAATAACTTGAGATTGCTTTGGCCTAATGACACCAAACTTGGTGTATGGATAGGTTATATTAAGAGGCAGCTTGGATTGCTACCCAGGTGTCTGTGATCAAGGTCAAGGTCACTGTTACTTAAAATAGAAATTCAGTTTCTGCTCAATAACTTGAGTTTGCTTTGGCCTATTGACACCAAACTTGATGAATGGGTAGCTTATATCAAGAGGCAGCTTGGGATTGCTACCCAGGTGTCTGTGATCAAGGTTAATGCATTTAGTTTTCATGTTATAACTTGAGTTTGCTTTGACCTTTTGACACCGAACTTGCTGAGTGGCAGCTTTGGATTGCTACTTAGATATCTGGGAGCAAGGTCAAGGTAATTTGCTTACAATAGAATTTTTAGTATCTACTCAATAACTTCAGTGCACTTTGACCTATTGTTTGCTGTCACATCAAAACTTGGTCGTTGAAAACCTGGTTTTCGTCGCATTGCGGCGCTTCTTGTATTCTTACTACATTCATACAGCAATATGTGAATCTTATTTTTTGCGCTAAAACTAGTTAATTCATATAATAATATAACACTTTAACAACATCACATTATAAAATTAGAATTAAAAGATGTATGAGACTGTGTCGTGCAAATTAGAAAAGTATTTAAAAAGGAATTGTCGGATAAAGCATTGTAAATGTGCTCATCTAGCGCATGCTTTCAATGAGAAAATAATCAACAATTTAAAAAATATACATTTCATCAAGTCCCTGTGTTGTTTATACTTACTATCGTAATGTTTGACGTAAGAAAATTGTTATTTGGTATTATTCTTTGAACTCCAACAACTATTAACATCACCAAAATCATAACGTTTCACTCGCCCTTATTTTATTTTAAAACAGTTATAGCAAAATATCTTACGCGTTGACCCTATATTTTTATTGCATAAATATTTTTCCGTCACTATCTCACTACACGCTCGGAAAATTATAGCAAAATTCACCGTGTTGAATTTTTTTTATTACACAATCTTTAATGCGATATCGCGCGATATTTGCATCAAATATGGACGTCAGAAAGTAGAGAAAAATGACGTAAAATCTCAGACTATTAAGTAAATGTTAAAGAAAGACATCATTACAAAGACATACATTTACTGAACATTATGATATTAAAATGAAGGAAATCGGATGAAAATTGATAAGAACAGACCGGTTTATTGATAAAAAAGACGCAATTTCACCGCCACCGATAGAGGGCGCTTTGACGTCAGAGTAACGCTGTTTATTTATAAAATAATACTGCAGAAGTAAAGCTCACATATTTATATGTTTGCATACCTAAAATCATCAAGATCTGAGATGTTGTCATATTTCGGTCAGAAAGTAGCGAGCTACCTTAAATTATACTGTAGAATGCTTTAAATTCAAGCTGTCCAAATTTGCCATTTTGTCAAAACAGTATATTTCTTCATTCGCCTATTTATGAATTTGTTATCATCATATCAAAAATCAAAAGGATTGCTATATGAAATAAGATATTCGATATTTCATGCTAACATATATACACATGTATAAGTTATTTCAGATCTACCATTAAGCTATTATTATCATTTCAGGCCAGTTATTTCAGATATATCATTAAGCTATTATTATCATTTCAGGCCAGTTATTTCAGATATATCATTAAGCTATTATTATCATTTCAGGCCAGTTATTTCAGATATATCATTAAGCTATTATCATCATTTCAGGCCAGTTATTTCAGATCTACCATTAAGCTATTATCATTATTTCAGGCCAGTTATTTCAGATATATCATTAAGCTATTATTATCATTTCAGGCCAGTTATTTCAGATCTACCATTAAGCTATTATTATCATTTCAGGCCAGTTATTTCAGATCTACCATTAAGCTATTATCATTATTTCAGGCCAGTTATTTCAGATATATTATTAAGCTATTATCATCATTTCAGGCCAGTTATGGGACTGTTTGATGTACAGGTGATGTCTGTTAAGGAGAGAGAAAGAGACCAGGTGTTTGAGGAGGTTTTATCTGTACAGGGACCACAAGATGCTACAGTTATTATATCCTCTGAAAATGGTGAATTTGATGATGACCTGGTGGATGAAATAGTGGGGACTTTCTCAGAATTTGGAGAAATAATCTTAGTGAGGTTAATAGTTACTTTTTTCATTTTTAGCTCACCTGTCAGAAAATGACAAGGTGAGCTTTTGCGATCACAATTCGACCGGTGTCAGTCCGGCATCCATAAGTAGTCCATCCGTAAACATTTACTTTAAACGACATCTCCTTATAAACCACAAAGCCGATTTCATCCAAACTTCAAAGAAATGTTTCTTTGGTGGTCACCTTTGAAAGAATTTAATTCCATGCAGAACAAAAAACTTCTCTTAAAACCCAAAGAGCTAGAATTTAAGATATTTAGCACGAAACATTTTCTAATGAGTGTCTATTAAGTTTATTCAAATAAAGCCCTGGGGACAAAATTGGCCAGCCCAAAGGGTCATTGATTTTCCTTATATGTATATTGTAAAAACAAAAGTCTTCTTTGAAAAAACCCGAAGAGCTAGAGCTTAGATATTTAATATTAAATATTTTATAGTGTGTGCTAACAAGTTTGTTCAAATAAAAGCCCTGGGGTCAAAATTGTCCATATCCCAGGGGGGTCATTGATTTTTCTTATATGTACACATCTTTTTGAACTGTTAGTTTCCCTTAGAAATAGCAACAAGTTATGTTTTTACACACACACTATTTCAGATACAAATATAGACTTTGTGAAATCAGTTTAAGAGTTAAATTTTGCATCTGCATTTTTATGCCCCCACAATGTGGGTGCATATAGCGTTGCACTTGTCCGTCCGTCAGTCCGTCCGTCCGTACGTCCCGAAATCTTGTGAACGCAACTCCTCTTTAACCGGATGGCAGATTTTGCTTAAACTTACAGGGATGAACAACCTTAATATGTAGATGGTAGTAAAGGAAGGAATTTTTGCTGTGACCAAATTTAAGAGAATTATGGCCCTTTGTTGATTTTTTTACTAGATACTATATAGAAATTTTGTGAACGCAACTACTCTTAAACCAGATGACAGATTTTGCTTAAACTTACAGGGATGAACAACCTTAATGTGTAGATGGTAGTAAAGGAAGGAATTTTTGCTGCTACCAAATTTAACAGAATTATGGCCCTTTGTTGATTTTTTCACTATATACTATGTAGAAATTTTGTGACCGCAACTCCTCTTAAACAGGATGGCAAATTTTGCTTAAACTTACAGGGATGAACAACCTTAAGGTGTAGATGGTAGTAAAGGAAGGAATTTTTGATGCGACCAAATTTTACAGAATTATGGCCCTTTGTTGATTTTTTCACTATATACTATGTAGAAATTTTGTGAACGCAACTCCTCTTAAACCGGGTGGCAGATTTTGCTTAAACTTACAGGGATGAACAATCTTAAGGTGTAGATGGTAGTAAAGGAAGGAATTTTCGCTGTGACCAAATTTTACAGAATTATGGCCCTTTGTTGATTTTTTCACTATATACTATGTAGAAATTTTGTGAATGCAACTCCTCTTAAACCAAATGGCAGATTTTGCTTAAACTTCCAGGGATGAACAACCTTAATGTGTAGATGGTTTTAAAGTAAGGAATTTTTGCTGCGACCAAATTTAACAGAATTATGGCCTTTTGTTGATTTTTAGTTTTCAACTTGTGGCACATGTAGTCCAAAAAATATTTGACCTAGAGTCATAAGATTGACAGAACAGTGGCGTGTGGGGGCATCCGTGTCCTATGGACACATTTCTAGTTTTATTCTTTTACAATATTACTTGGTCCTTGTCATGGAGAGTTTTTATTTTCAGGTGAGCGATTTCAGGGCCATCGTGACCCTCTTGTTTTATACTTTACAATATTACTTGTTCTTTGTCATGGAGAGTTTTTATATTCAGAAGAGCGATTTCAGGGCCATCATGACCCTCTTGTTTAGAAAGTTAATATAAGATTTCCCAGGCATGAATAAGTTATCTTAATTACAGCAAAATTTATACAGTTTGGTCAGACTGCCCAGAATATTGTGCACATTGGCTTGACTTTATCCTTAGGAAAGAGATCTTTTATTTTTACCAGAAGCAATTTGTATTAAAAAAAAATAACAAAAAAGAGTGAAGCTTCTTACAAAATGATTTGCCAACTAACCTGACTATACCTGTGGTATGGGTTTCTTTGATAATTTTCAACTAGCATTGTGAAGCTTTTTAGCTGCCTGTCATTGTTATAAAATTGAGTTGTTTTTTTCTTCAGATTTGTTGATGAGGACATGTGGTTAATATTTAAGAATGGTCAAATGGTTTTAGAAGCTGTACAACAGGATAAATTAGAGGTTAGCAATTTGTAAGATGTCAAGATGTATCATAAAAATCATTACATGTGTAAAATATCAAACAATTGTGTAGGAAATATATTTTTTTTATTTTTAGCTTGACTGTTTGATGAATAAGAAAGATATTTTGCTCACCTAGCCATCTGTGTCACATTTTGGTTAAGTTTTTAGGTGCAAGTTGGTATCTCAAAAACTACAGAGGGAATGGGGCTTACTTGAGAGCATAATTGGAGGTCACTGACCAAGGTCCATAACTCTGACATGGATTTTAACGGAATTATGACCCCTTTTTGAACTTATTATATTAAGCACATAGAATAGTAGAGCACACTGTCATGTGGAAAGCTCTTGTTTTAAAAAAGGTATAGAAATTTGATCTAAGAATAATTATTTTCATATTTTTAAAGGGTTTATTATGCCACCGCAGCATCTGCGATGCGGTGGCATATAGCGATTCACCTGTGTGTTTGTTTGTGTGTTTGTTATATAGATTATATAGTGAACTTAAAAAATCTTCTTGTAAAAAAACACTAGTCCAATTTCAACCAAACTTGGCAGGATTGATCCTTGGGTGAAGGGCTTCCAAAGTTGTTCAAAGAAAATCATTTCATGCAGAAATCTGGTTGCCATGGCAACCAAAAGCAATTATAAGAATAAATTTAAAAAATCTTCTTGTAAAGACCCAAAAGGCCTTGAGCTTAGATATTTTGAATAAGGCATTGTCTGGTAGACCTCTACCAAGATTGTTCAAATTATAGCCCTTTGGTCAAAATCGGCCCCGCCCCCGGGGGTCATTGATTTTCGCTATATGTACATATTGTAAAAACTTAAAATACCTTCTTGTAAAGACCCAAAAGGCCTAGAGCTTAGATATTTTGCACAAGGCATTGTCTGGTAGACCTCTACCAAGATTGTTCAAGTTATTGCCCCTGGGGCCAAAATCGGCCCCGCCACAGGGGTCATTGATTTTCACTATATGTACATATAGTACAAACTTAAAATACCTTCTAAAGACCTAAAAGGCCTAGATTGTTCAAATTATAGCCCTTTGGTCAAAATCGGCCCCGCCCCCCGGGGGTCATTGATTTTCGCTATATGTACATATTGTAAAAACTTAAAATACCTTCTTGTAAAGACCCAAAAGGCCTAGAGCTTAGATATTTTGCACAAGGCATTGTCTGGTAGACCTCTACCAAGATTGTTCAAGTTATAGCCCCTGGGGCCAAAATCGGCCCCGCCACAGGGGTCATTGATTTTCACTATATGTACATATAGTACAAACTTAAAATACCTTCTAAAGACCTAAAAGGCCTAGATTGTTCAAATTATAGCCCTGGGGTCAAAATCGGCCCCACCCCGGGGGTCATTGGTTTTCCTTATATGTATATAGTAAAAACATATAGTAAAAACTTTAAAAAAATCTTTTAGCAATTGACAAATGCTAGAGGTTAGATATTTTGCATGAAACATTGTGTAGTGAACCTCTAGCAAGATTGTTCAAATTATAGCCCTGGGGTTAAAATTGCCCCCGCCCCGGGGGTCATTGATTTTCAATATATGTACATATAGTAAAAACTTAAAATACCTTCTAAAGACCCAAAAAGCCTAAATTGTTCAAATTATAGCCCTGGGGTCAAAATCGGCCCCACCCCGGGGGTCATTGGTTTTCCTTATATGTTTATAGTAAAAACATATAGTAAGAACTTTTAAAAAGATCGTTTAGCAATTGACAAATGCTAGAGGTTAAATATTTTGCATGAAACATTGTGTAGTGAACCTCTAGCAAGATTTTTCAAATTAAAGCCCTGGGGTCAAAATTGCCCCCGCCCCGGGGGTCATTGATTTTCAATATATACATATATATAGTAAAAAATCAAAAAAAATCTTATTGTCTGAAGGTACAAGGCTAAGAGCTTTAACATTTGTTAAATGATATCATCTATAGGTACTCTACCAAATTTGTTCAAATTTTGCCTCTAGTGTCAAAATTAGCCCTGCCCCGGGGGCCAGAGATTTTCCCTTTATGTGTATATTAAAAACTTAAAACATCATCCTCTCTAAATTTACAAAGGCTAGAGTTAAGATATTTTGCATGAAACATTGCGAAATGAAACTCTACCAAGATTGTTCAAATTATAGCCCTGGGGTCAAAATTGGTTTCGCCCCGGGGTCATTGATTTTCATTATGTACATATAGTAAAAAAAATAAAATATTTTTGTCTGAAGGTACAAGGCATAGAGCTTTGATGTTTGCTATATAATATAATCTATAGGTCCTCTACCAAAGTTGTTTAAATTTTCCCCTGGTGTCAAAATTGGCCCTGCCCGGGGGCAGTGATTCTCATTATGTACACATAGTAAAAACAGAAAATAAAACAAATATTTTCTGAATGGGAGAAAGCTACAGCTTGGATATTTGACTTGAAATGTTGTTTGGTGGACCTGTATCAAGATTGTTTTGAATTAAATCCTTGGGTCAAAGTTTTGCCTTGCCCAAGGGGACAGTGACCTACTTTCTTGTCCTTTGATGTACAGCAATGAAATTTAGACCATGTGCACAGTTTTAGTTGTAAAATTGAACTTTGATATCTGGTGACCTAGATTTTGATGATGTGACCTACTTTCTTGTCCTTTGAAATTTGAACCATGTGCACAGATTAAGATGTGAAGTGAACTTTGATATCAGCTGACCTAGATTTTGACAAAGTGTCTTACTGTGTTGTCCTTTGATGTGGTCATGAAATTTAGGCTGTGTGAAATATGACTTTCACAACCAAATTCACTAGACTCAAGTGCATTGATATATTCCTACTCTGATCTTTTATTGGAATAAAATTAAAGATTTAACCACTAATCTGATAATAGATAGGTCAGGGATCTATGCATTATGACAATCTTCAATTGTATAGAAACAAAAAAAAATCTGTTCCTACACTACTATTTAGTGTTGTATTAATGCGGTGGCATAGCATTTTTCTCTAATGCTATCTTGTTTTTAAAATTACCATATTAAGTCCGGTTCAAAAACATTGTGATCATTCTTCATTCTTTTTCAGCTGTAAGTGTTCTACATTAAATAGTTACACACACTATTCTTATGCTGATGCTAGTAAGCTTGACAATGGGGGTGGGGGGGGGGGGGGTGGGCTTAATTCATCTTGGATCAAACCATTCATGTTTTTTGAAGGGGTAAAATTTCAAAGACAATATTGACTGAATATTGACCTATTTAGAGCATGATCAGAGGGCATGGATTTAAGGTAATAAAGTCTTACATTTTTCATTGTGATATTTTTAGATAGCTGGAAAGAAAATCAGTGTACGTTTAAAGACAGCCAACTGGAAAGAAATAAACCTGCTTGAACTTAGGGCATCGTCCCTGCAGACAGAGCCTCTCTTTAACACCACAACTAATAGTTTACTTGGCGAGGATTTTGAAATTGCCGACATCGATTGTTATGATAGTGAAGGTATGAACAAATTTCTGTGCTAGCTCTGGTCATAAATTTAGACATGTTTTATATTAAGCTTTATTATGAAGAATTTCCTCATAGCTATATTGGTAAGTGCAATGTGTAAAGCCTGCCATTTTCGTCGGCCTCTTAATTCACAAATGTTTGTGGAAAATATATAGAGGGTCCATGAATTTGTTTGTTTCTAGTAAATATGGAAAAGTTATTGTGTAAGAGCTTTTATATTTAGTATCTCATTAAAAATTGTACAATATGTTTTGAATGTCAAATATATAAATAGAAATATTAAATACAGGTGATGATGATGACGATGATGGTGAAGAAGACCAAGAACCATTACCAGAACCCCTACACCCATCCCGGTCCGCTAGCAGTTCTCCGCATTCAGGTAGTGATCATTCTTTTTTTAGGTATAGACATTTTACACTGTACAAACAACTTTCTACCCAATGAATAGACAACCGATTGAAACATGGTCTTCAATCTTCACTGGATAATTACCCCCTATTGCTTTTTGAGTCACAATAGACTTGAACTCACGGTCACAATAGCCTTGAACTCTAGGTCAAAATAGTCATGAACTCAAGGTCATTATTGCCTTGAACTCAAGGTCACAATAGCCTTGAACTCAAAGTCACAGTGGCATTGAACCTAAAAAGATTTTTCTGCTCAACAACTTAAAACTCATTTGACTAACAGACCTCAGACTTCATCAGATTACCATCCGATAGAAGACTTTTTAAAGCAGCACGCCTCCAGATTCATTTTTCAATTTTCATGAAAATATTAGAAATGTTCTAAATTTAAAGTTACCTTCACAGGAACACCAAGTCCTGCAGAAGCCATGATGTTATCTGGCTCAAACACAAGTTTAGAGAAGGCCGGTGTTCCCCCACCACGTCCGCAACCAGCCAGTCGATCAAGGCCACCACCACCTGCTGCCAGGCCAAGGGAGACCACTCCTCCACAACAACAAAATATTGCAGACACGCTTATTGTCCCTGAACAAGTTTCAAAAGTAAGAGGAGCTGCACCAGAGGTAATTATTCTTGCTATTTTTAGAATGCATGTTTAAATTTGAGTTCATATTATAAAATTCAAAGGCCAAAACATGGTCTGTGGTTTTGAACACATATGCCAAGACATATGTGTATTAAAACATTTCTTACATATGGGAATGTAAAGTATTTCATCTATCAGTAATTGCTTGAAAGTTGCTATTTATATTGCTGTATATTACTGGTGGAATGACTAGAATGATAACCACTTATGGATATAAATGTTTGTTTGTTGGTTTCATTTTACGCCTTTTCCTAACAGTATTTCAGTCATATAGGCAGGTAGTTTCCTAACCATCGTTCCTGGAGAGTTACACTAGTACTAAACTACCTTCCTCCGCGCTAAACTACCAAAGCATCTCTCGGGGATCGAACCCACGCCAGAGAGGTAACTGGATTAGAAGTCATCAACTTTAACCCCTCGACCATGGAGGCGAAATAATTTGATGTATTCATGTAAAAACCATAAAAACAACATTTGAGAAAGAGTTTAATAAAACTACTTTTTTCTGAAACAACAAAAAAATTTTGTCTGGTTTGAATAATTTTCACATATTTTTACAAAATTCCAAAGTATTTTAGTAAAAGTCTAAAAGTAAAGTTTATTGTATGTTCAAATTAAAGAAATCTTTTATGTAAATTAGTATAATAGATTAACCAAAGTTGTTAAATTTTATTATTCCAAAATCATATTTACTGTAAATTTGTGTAAAATATTAGTTTGTTATTTTTTTCCTATAGCAATCTGTAAATAAGCCTGGGCCTCCACAGAGACCAGGCCCTCCAGCTAAGCCCCCACCCCCTCAGCGACCCCCAGGAGGGCCTCCAAGACCATCAGCAGGAGCACCAGGAGCTCAATCCAAACCACCAAGTAAGCATGAGTATTGAAGAAAAATATTATATGAACAGGCTTCCTATTTAGGGGAAGCTAGCACAATAGAACAAGGAGGAGGGGTACATCTAGAAGTAAACAGAACAGTCCTCATTCCATTTTAATGGAAGAGTCAATGGTTCTCTATTATCATCAAAGAAAATAACAAAAGAAATTGCCAGTGATCCGGGTCATTCAATTCTGGTTGTATTTGTGTATAAAGATGATTGATATCTGTAGCAGTGGTATCCATGGCAACTGTTAAAAAATTACCTACCTTTCACTACTATGGATGTTCTGTCACATCCCAAATTATACTTATATTTCACATAGATGCCCTCCACTTCTATTATACCCAGATTGCAAGATTTATTTTTAAGGCAGTGAAAAATATGGAAAAATGTCATTCATTTTTACTGGACTGCAAAACTGATCTTATCACAATCGTATATGTTTGTTACAAACTTAAAAGGCACTTGACTGAGGTTATTTTACATGGCCATACTGGAAATATTTTTTTGAGATATTTATACCCTTTGATATAGGTTTGGAACAATTACTTGGGGTGAAATTTCAGATTTCAATTTCTGTGGCCTTTATGGACCAGTGGCGACATATAGGGATCACTTCTCTATTGTCTGTCTGTTTGTCTGTCTGTCCATCCATCCAAGCTTACATTGGATACTTTTGTGGAACAATAGGTAACTGTATTTTCTCTTTGATGTCATTATACCCCCAAAAACGAAGTTTGGGGAGGTATATAGGAGTCACCCGGTGGTCGGTCGGTTGGTCGGGCGGTCGGTCGGTCGGTCCAGACGTCCGTTACATTTTCCTTGTCCGGAGCATAACTTGAAAACCACAAGTTGGAATTCAATACAACTTCATACAATGATCAAGCACATTGAAAGGAAGTGCAGTGCACAAGAACCATAACTCCATCTTAACTAATTACAGAGTTATTGCCCTTTGTTACTTTTCCTTGTCCGGATCAAAACTTGAAAAGTACTAATTGGATTTCAAAACAATTTCATACATTGGTCAAGCACAATAAGAGGAAGTACAGCGCACAAGAACCATAACTCTATCTAAAGGAATTACAGAGTTATTGCCCTTTGTTCTTTCCCTTGTCCGGAGCATAACTTGAAAAGTACTAGTTGGAATTCAAAACAATTTCATCCAATTGTCAAGCACAATAAGAAGTGCAATGCACGAGAATCATAACTCTATAATAAGTATAGAGTTATTGCCGTTGGACTTACATACAATAGTCAAACGCAATAAGAGGAAGTTTACAAGAACAGATGTTATGAGCATCACCAGCAGTTCAGCCCACCAGTGGCTCAGCATGCATCAAGCACAAAGAGATAAAGTGCAGTTTACAGGAACAAATGTCTTGAGCATCACCAGCAGTGCAGCCCACCAGTAGTTCAGCCAAATTACAGGAACAACAGTCTTTGGTTTTCATGGTGTTGTATATTCAGTAAGTAATA